GTGTTACCTTTCTAACTAGTTTTCTATCATCAGTCCAATGATCCTAATTAAGTCGGNATTTTGTTGGAAATTTCCAACCACTTTCGGACCACATAAATTGATTAGAAATTTCCAACNACATCTTGANCATTTATTATATACGTCTNTTTGGCTACAAAGACTTCCAAATCATATGAGAATGAGGTAACGACTCCCAAACCACATCGTTACAAACAATGAGGTTCACAATAAATATAGTGCGAAATGGTGGTAGTTTTGGGAAGTTATACTGAATTAGATCGTAGGATTAAGGAATCCGATGAATGAATATGTCCTTCAGACGTAAGATATAAACATAATTAGTTGGTTGGGTGTTGAATGCTGCTTAAGCTTTTATATTAGTTGTGATTCGTGAGAGTAGATATTCAGTGAACAAAAGTTGTATACTCACAACTCTTTGATGGTGGTAGTTTTCGTTTATTTATTTTCTTACCACTCCTTTTTTTTTAACATTGCGTTTATCAAGTTTCCGACGTTCTTCATCTTGTTACTTGTTTACTGTATTTATTGAAGGGACTCGTGATTTTGTTGAAGCTTAATCAATATTGTCACTTTATGGTTTCTTGTCACTCACCATACATTCTCAATTGCTCTATAAACCCTTGGAAACTTTGCTTACATCAATCCATTTTTGCTGATTAAAATAATTTTAGAAATTTACTCTTACGTGTGTGATGATGTGTGTTTTTTGTATCTCTATGATTTTTTTGCTATCTATATACTGAGGTTAGGCATCATTTATAGTAGACTGCATTTCTCTTCAATGAGTGTGAGGGGTATAATTTATAGAAGTGGCATTTTCACAAATATTTCAATGGCTGATTAGGCTAAAGAGTACACCCAAAAGCTAGAGTGGATATTTCTCATTTAAGCTTAAAGTTTCTAACATTTCAGAATAAGGATTGCGATTTCTAGAATGATAGATTTTGATGTTTTTTTCGCTTGTTATTAAATTCTTTTTTTGTTTTCACTTTCATAACAATTTACGTCTTTCAATACTTGTGTTTATTTACTCTGCATTTGATTTTACTCATTTATGATCCATCAAATAATGGTTTTAGTTTGCTTAACACTCCATTAGCAAGAATAAAATTACATTATTACAACATCACACAATGATTCAACACTAGCCAATAATCAAAGCCTAGTAAAACAGCTCGTTACCGCGACAATAGCATATGTCTTCTTGGCATGTCTGTCTCTCTGTATTAATGTTGTTGTTTAGACAAATTAACATTATTAATTTCCGCTTAATGTGTTTCATTTTTTTTTTTTGCAGGGTTTTATATATTTGTTTCTTCTACTCATAATGGGTTTGATATGTCTAGAACTATATTTCCTCTAACTTGAAATTACACTTTATACCTTTTCGAGTAAAATAACATTTCTCTTGACTGCGGTATGGGCTGGATCTTTCGGTCACATACGAATGAGTTCCTAGGTTATGCTTCAAATACTAAATGCAGTGTCTCCTCTACTCTAAAAGCTAAAGCGGAAGCTATAAAAGTTTCCCTCCCAATACAAAAGAAAGAGGTTATGAGGACTTACACCTCTTCTCCAATTCTCAAATGCCGTCAATCTCCTCAACAGTGGAGATGAGCATAATGATTTGTTTGGAGTGCTATTTGATATTTGTGATCTAGCGGGCGTACTCTTTTCGATTGATCATATTTTCTTTTATTCCACGTCTATCTAATGTTGTGGCCAATTCTCTTGCTAAAAGAGCTTTGTTCTCCTTAACTATTTAAGGTTAATAAAATATCAATATTTTTGGGGAAAAAAACCATTTTAAAATTATGTCTTCAAACCGGAACAAATAAAATGCATGTTGAAAATAAGACGATAGAAAACCTAGAGATCGACCGTAAATTGACAAAAAAAAAATCAATGTATCAGAGAAATGAACGAATCAAATGGATTAAAATTGAACGAGTTTGTAGAAAATGAGTGAATAAAGTGAATAAATTGGAAAAAACTGAGC